GAGGGGAAGCTATCACTGCTACGCTTGTGGTTGCAAAGCATAAAACCAACTGCAAAAACGGACAGAGTCGTGGCTGAGATCGCACCGCTGATGCTTGTCCCTAAGCTGCCGCCTTCCAGGTACAGAGTCCTGGTTGCTGACCTGCCACACTCTGGAAAGTTGCAGCATAGGTAGGGGCAGGCATGAAATTGCAGGCCTGGTAGATCGTGGAAGGCTAGGGAAAGCGTAGAAGGTTCAGGAGAGCGAGTGCGTCTCAGGAGAACGTAGCAGCCTCGGGAGACTGTGGAGGTTCCCAGGAGAGCATGGCAGGGCTCGAACGAGAAAAAAATGAATGAGAATGATTTCAAAAATGTGTCCCTGTCGGCCCTCCCTCCTGCTGTAAGCCTAATGTGTGACTGGGTACATAGGTCTGTTTCCCGACCATTAGGCATACCCAGGGAGAGGAAAGGCGTACCCAGGGAGAGGAAAGGCGTGGAAGCCCCCCCCCTGCAAGAGCCTAGAGTGGCAGGGGACAGGGTTGTTACTTCGACTCTTTGATGGAACAACTGAATTCCACTCATTGTGAGGGACGCTGGACCCGTTTTCCAGCAGGTGAAGCTCCCCACCAATAAGACCGGAGCCTGTGCGCTCTTTATTTTTGTTTTTATTTTTTTTAATTTGGACCATTTCTCAATTTATGTGTGTCATCCTTGCGCAGAGGCCATGCTAATCTTCTCCGTATCGTTCCAATTTTAGCCTGTGTTCTTTTAAAAAGAGATAAAAGGGGAAAAAAGTCCCACGTGGAAGGCTCCAGAGCATATCACATTTTGGTGTATCCTGAGAACAGATCAAAAATCGCTCCGCAAGAGAAGATGCATATTTATTGATCTCATTTCATTCTAATCGGTAACACAATCCGCATATTCTCGTCCCCCTCCCACCTTTCCCAACACACACACACACACACACACACACACACACACACACACACACACACATGCATGCATGCATGCACGCACGCGCAAGCACACACAGGCATGCATGTGCAAGCACACACGCATGCATGCACACGCACACACACATGCACGCACACACACACACACACATCCATGCACGCACGCGCAAGCACACACGCATGCATGCACACGCACACACACATGCACACACACACACACACACACACACACACACA